TGTCAAAGCATTTGATGGGAGGAAACTCCCCAGTGCTGGCTTTGAAGGTGGAAGGGGCCCCTTGGCAAGGACAAAGAGTGCCCTCTAGGAGTCTAAAGCGGCAGGACCACAGACACAGAAGCTTGGCAACCAGGAGGAACTGAATTATTCCAAGAGCCTAAATGAGAGCATGTTAAGCCTAGGAGAGATGCCCACTGGGTCTGACAGCTTGATCTCTGTGCCATGAGACCCTTGGCAGAAACCAGGCCCACTGGACCTGAACATCTGATACACAGAACTTCGAGCCAATGAATGTGTTTTAAGTTGCTAAAGTTACGGGAATTTGCTACTGGGTGATAGAAAACCAACATACTCTGTTTTCTCATCTACAAAGAGAGGATGAGGCTTGTGGTATAGCCACCTCTTGAGATTGTTCTGGAAAGTTAACAGAGATAATAAAACATTCTACTGAGCTTGGTAAATAGATGCTGTGTTAGTGACCTAGGGCTAATGGAGCTGTTCCTATCATTTTCATGATTATTATTATAGAATGAGCTAACAGCACTGCTTTCATAAATATAGGAAGGTCAAAACTTTTTAAATATTGGTGCTTGAGAGATGGTTCAGTGGTTAAGAGTGGTTACCATTCTTGCAGAGGACCCACATGGAAATTCACAACTACCTCTAACTCCAGTTCCAGAGGATCCAATGCCCTCTTCTGGCCTCTGTGGGATTCTGCATCCACATGGTACACAAATATACACTCAGGCACATACACATAAATTTAAAAGATACATCCTTCTTTAAAAAAACTTTGAAAATGGAGGAAATAAAACCAAATTAAAAGAGATTCTATGTGATAAAAGGTTTCAAATTGAATAGTCTCTTGTTTCTGGCACTTTTCATTTTTTATTTTATGTGTATATGTCTATTGCCTGTATGTATATAAGTGTACCCATGTCATGCAGTGCCCATGCATGCAGTGTCATGCAGAGGACAGAAGATGGCATCAGATTCCCTGGATCTGGAGGTACAAATGGTTGTCAGCCACAATGTGGGTGTTGAGATTCCAAACCCAGGTCTTCTGAAAGAACAGCCAGTGTTCCTAACCACTGAGCCATCTCACCAGCCCCTGTTTCTGGCACTTTTAAATGAACATTAATAAAGTATGTTTTATTTTTACTTACTTTGCTCTATTTGTTTTCATTTGAGACAGGGTCTCAATATGTTGCTCACACTGGTTCAAATTCCTAGATTCAAATGATCTTCCTGCCTTAGTCTCCCAAGTAGCTGAAACTACAGGTATGTATCATTCCTCTTCATATGGTTAATTGTGTGTGCATGTGTATGTGCATGTATGTGCACTTCTGTGTGGTGGCCTGAGGTCAACACTAGGTGACCCCCCTCAATTATTTTTCACCTTAGCTATTGAAACAGAGTCTCTCACTGATTCACGTGCTCACTGACTGGCTACACATGCTGGCCAGCAAACTCTGGCGATCCCTCCCCGACTCTCACGCTAGGGCCACAGACATGTGCCATCATATCTGGCTTTTATGTGGGTGCTAGGGATTCAAACTTAGAGCCACATGCTTGTGCGACAGACCCTTTACTGACTGAGCCATCTTCCTAACTCCTCAAAAATACTTGAACCTGGGTGTGGTGGTACAGGCCTTTAATTCCAATCCTTGGGAGGCAGAAGCAGGTGGAGCTCTATGAGATCAAGGCCAGCCTGGTCTATGTAGTGAGTTCCAGGCCAGCTTAGGTACAGGGAGAATCTGTCTCAAAAAAAAAAAAAAAGAAAAAAAAGAACACCCCAAAACTTAAAAAGCATCTGTACTGAGCATGGGCAGACTGTTCAGACTGTTTCTCTTATCATTTTTCCCTAAATAGCCAGTATAATGACTATTTCTACAGCATTTACATTCTATTGAGTATTATGAACAATCCACAGATGCTTTAATATATACAGGAGAATGTGTACTGGTTAAATGCAAACACTATGCCCCTTTATGTAAGGCACTTGAGCAGCCAAGGCCTTTGAAATCTGGGATGGGCAGGGTATAGAACCATACCCCATGAATGCTAAGGACCACTGTATGAAGGTCACAGTCTGCACCAGGGCCAGTGTTCAGTAAACAAAAGCATGCAAGCTAAGGCATGCTACCTTCTTTATTATTTTTTTTTATTTTATGTGTATGAGTGTATTGTCTGCATGTAAGTAAGTGCACCTGTGTTGTGCAATGCCCAGAGAGATCAGAAGAGAGCATCAGATTCCCTACAACTAGAGTTACAGATGGTTGTTGGCCACATCCTGTGGGTGCTGGGAACTGAAACCAGGTTCTCTGCAAGAGCAACCAGTGCTCTTAACCACTAAGCCATCTCTCCAGCCCCATTCTGCCTTCTTTTGATGCTTACAGACAATAAGGCTACAATCTATGGTGGCCTAGCTGGTACGATGACATGAGTAGGGACGCCTACTCTATGGAGTTGTGACTTTCAGAGCATCTCATTTTGAAGCTTTGACAGCTTCCTTCCAAACACCAGGCAAGGGGTAAATCAAGGCTGCAGGGAGAAGGCACAGGATCTGCTATCAGAGGAAAGGTTCCAGTTCTGAATTCTCCACTTGGAATGATCATGATTATTTCCTGTTTAGGAACTGGACTCCCTTTGGAGAACAGCATCCAGCCCTTTCCCCGAGCCACTGGATCTGCCACAGCTGAACACAGAGCCTGGTCAGCAGGAGGCATCTCACCAAGCCCTGTCCACTCACAAGCCCCATCCTCTCGACTATAAGAACTGGCCATCATAGAGCACACAGCCCAGGCTAGAGCAACCAGAATTCTGCAATGGGATTTCATTTGTGGACCTTGGATGCAAAAATTTCTGTGTCCTCTGGACATGCATGGCTGTTTGTGGCCATCCTGCCCCTCTAAAACTAAAGCCATATGGACGCAGGAAAAGATTAATCAAACACAAAAAGTAATAATGCTGAGAAAGTATATACCCTGGATACAGATGTGCCTGAAGGCCATCCACCTTGGTTTACCTCAGTCACATGGGTCATCGATTCCCTTCTCATTTGAGATAGTTTACACTGAGTTCATCATCTGTAATCAGAGTTTTGACTAATATACTAGACCTTGTCTTCATCTAAAAGTTAAAAAGCTGGGGTTTATATGTCTAAGCGGAAGAGTCAAGGAATTTCTTCTCAAGTGGCCTAGGCCAAAGTAAAGACCAAGTGCCAGAGAAGAAGCCCAGAAAATATCTGAAATGTGATCCTAAGCAAGTGACAACTCAGCTCAGGTCCCAGGTCCCAGTAGAAGCCTGGCTCTCCACAATGGTAAAATCCCTTCCCCAAAGGCAGCAACATCTTCCCTTCTCCCTCAAGGTCCCAACAACAAACCAAGGTATGATTCCACTAAAGTTCACCCTGGGGAAGCAATGATTTGTTGGGCTTACTTTCAGAGCAATGGCTTGGGGGGTCACTGACAGGAGTGTGGGTGCTCACCCCGAAGGCCTTTACCCTGGCACACTGGGTCCTTCAAATATCAGTTTCAATTATCATCATGAAGATCACAGAGTGAGTATGCGCTGGGAATGAGGTTGCAAACTCCCTTGGGTCCCTTCCACCCCACATGTCACTGAGGATCCTACTCCAAGGCAGAGAGATAGATCTGGCCACAGAGGAACATGCAACAGTCAAGCCCAGAGCCTTTCCCTCTGATGCATCTTGATGCCTGTTTGTGAGAGTTCCCCAAGAGGCCCCAGGACCAGAAGAAATCAGAGCAAGAACAAGGGACCAAGACAAGGATCTCGCAGCTGGCCCAAGAACTGGATGGACTTGAGTCATTCATGCCCCTCTACCAAGCTGAGAAATTCCTACTGATTTACTAATTTTGTAGTGCTGGGGATCAGGACCAAGGTGAGCCACATTCTCAGCCTGAGGCTTTCTGAAACAGGGCCTCACTAATGTAGCCCAGGCAGGAACTCATGATTCTCTTGCCTCAGTATTGCAATTACAGGCGTGTGACTAGAAAACATTTACCAATGGGGCTCCAGCTAGTGGTATGTCAATCCCACAGACAAGGTAATCAACCCAGCTAGTCTGCAATAAAAGGGTTTCATGAAGCGTGTGACTTTTTATACTAAAACCAGGATAGTCCCTAGGCAACTTTGGCTGGCTTACTGCCTTGTGTACCCACCTCTCTTGGCTAATGACTACTGAGGAACAGCAGGAGAAGAGCAATGAACAGAAGAGGGATAAGGAGAATACTGATGGGAATGTCTTCAAAAGAAGTGGCTCAACAGTAAGAGCACTGGCTGATCTCGCAGAGGACCCAGTTCAGTTCCCAGCACCCACATGGCAGCTAACAACTGTCTACAACACCAGTTCCAAGGGATCCAGCACCCTTTTCTGGCCTCCATCAGCACTACATGACACAAGTGCACTTACACACATGCAATCAAAACACTCATATGCATAAGATAAAAATAAATTTTAAAAAATTTAAAGACCAACATGCTCACAATAGATCAGGTTTCTCTACAGTTCAAAATGACTATAAAGGTCAACTTCCAAAGTGTGCCCAGACCGCACAGTCAGCAAGGGCTTTCATGGGCAATGGCTCTGGGAAATGCTGCCAACTCCATCAATTTCTCTTATGGAGTCTGCTGCATATCAACACATCAAGGCTCTGAGAAGTCCTACAGTAGTGACCATACTTAATACAGTACATTCAGTACATCCCAAATTTAGGTGGATGACCCCCAAGCCTTTTATTGCTTGATGGCCATGATCATACACTGAACATGCTTTGAAAGGTGACTTCCCGTTTTCTTTTCCTTCACTGTACGGGGCGCCTTCCAGGCTCTGAGGAGAATGGCCCATGTCCTAGACCTTAACTCTTGGCATTTTTACAAGATGCTTCCTACGGCCCACAGTTTGGGGGTGATGATGTGACCCATGACAGAGCTGAGCATCCTACTACATAGCAGGGCTACCCAGGGCAAACACTTACCCCTCTGAAATTCCAGGCTTTAGGCGAGGGAAACATGGGGAAGTTGTTCTGCCGCTGCCTCTTCGGCCTAAGAGAGAACAGACAACGTCATTGTTTAGTGATTAGATGTGCAGAGGAAGTCAGGCTTTATCAGAAGGAAAGTTGCCTGGAGAAGCAGCTGGGTACAGGAGATGAGGGGCTTCTTGGGAGCTTTCAGAGGTTACATTCATTCCAAACCACTGTTCATCCCCTAAGAGGAAAGCACCACGGCCCCACAGAGCAGTCCACCTTTCACCCATGAAGATCAAATCTACAGTGCAACCCAGATGCAACCAAAAACTCAGACCCAATGTCCAGCATTTCTTTTTATCTCAAACATACAAACAAGTCCCAAATGACCACCATCAGGTAATATTTATACCTTCAGCGGAGAGAGGAACTCTCCCTCCTTACACACAGGCTGGGCAGCCCTAATATCGCCCTGAAGGCCACACGAGCTCCAAGTTTTAAATTTTTTTAATTACATTTATTTATTGGCAGGGCATGTGTGCATATTTATGGAGATCAGAGGACAAGTTATGAGAGTCAGTTCCCTCCATCCACCATGTGAGTCCTAGGGATTGAACTCAGGTCATCAGGCTTGGTGGCAAGCACCTTTACTTGCTGAACTATTTCAGCAGCCCTACCATATTTTTTTGCAAAGTGAAGGTGAAATTAAAAGATTTTCAGGCAAAATAAAATATATGAATTTGATAGAAAATTCACACAATAGTAATGTGAAATAAAATTGGATTGACTATAACAGAAGAGGGAATTCTATAACTAGAAACAGGCAGAATAAGTACTTCCCATAGCCCAGGAATGGACGCAAATGGCTTCGTCATGAAGCGTTACCAGCAAGCAAGGGAATAAGCTCTGCGAGGCCCGTTTCTGAAACATTTACTGGGACCACTCAGCAATGATAAAACTTCCCACATCTGCTGGCTTTCTCCACTTCCTCCTGTCCTGCCTCCACCACACCATGTTCATAACAACACCTATTCTGTCCTCTGAGCCCATCTCCTGAACTTTTCCACTGTGCTGCCCTCTTGTACTTTAGCCTCCTCCCACGTTCATGTTTTCAAAGCAGCTTTCCCCAGTTCAGTCTCCCAAAGGAAAACTGCCAATGGTAACATTCCATGCCTCCCTAGAGGTACCGTAATGGGGTAGCTTTGCCTGGTGGTTAGGATGGAGATGCTGGAGCCAGCTCTGTTGATTCCTGGTGGTGTGACACTGGACAGGTGACTTATCTTCTCTGGTCCCTAGTTCCTCCACCTGAAAAGTGGAGATGTAACGGAACCCACTCAAATGAACATGAGGGTCAGATGAGCAAAGGTATAAAGTCCCGGTGCCCTACACACAGAAGGTATGTGTTAAGAATGAGCCCTTCTGTGGTCAAACTTGGAGAGGCTGGGTCACCTCTGAACCTCAAACCCAGCAGGAGCTTAATAAATAATGTCCAGTGCTGGCTTTGGTACGCCTGTGCTCAACAGAAGACACACACAGAGCAGAGAACAGGAGGACAGCACATGCACATGAGGAGGGTGGGATGCCCCACAGATGAGCCATCATGGCCTCTGGTCAGCACCCTTCAACCAGCTGAAGGCAGGGACCCACCCTCACTCAGCCCCTTTGTTCCCCAGGTTGCCCTCAGACAATGTGGCCAGTAACAAGCACTTTAGGGACAGAGGGACTCAAATGGCAGCCAGCTCCTCAGTCTAGAGCCACCCTATGGGCAGCACTGGAGAGAATGTGAGTCCCTCCCCCTATGGGGGACTCAGCAGAGCTGGTGGGCCCAGGTCCAGCACAGTCCCACCCAGAGCTCTGAAAAGCGTGTTGGATCCTGTATGATTCTCATCTTCCCAGGGCCAGGTATAGTTCCTGTCCTGGTCGTCCAGGACAAAGAGCCTTCAAAATGCTGCGACTGTCCCCAGTAAACCCTGAATACTCTGAAGACATTGTCCAACATCATACAGGGCAAGGCTTGTCCTTCTCTGTGTTTCAAGGTGACAGACAGATCATGGATTTCAGATGAAGTTTCCATGTGCCAGTCAGACACAGTAGAACTCTCTGGAATGAAGTCAGGCCAGCAAAGACGGGCAAGTGGTGGGAGCACAGGCACTGCAGGATCCAAGGTCTGGGGTCAAGGCCAAGTCCACAGTGACCTTGGGTAACTTCCTCAACTTCCCCAACCCTCAGTCTCTAACCTAGAAAAGGGTGTGATGATAATTCACCTTCATAAGGTTGCTCTGAGGAATTAATAATTCCTATAAAGCTATCTGCTTTCCACCCAGCTTGTGCTGACTGCATGTCAGCTCTGATGATCTTGTCAGTCTACAACGTGCCCAGCATTGCTTTAGGGACAGGGATACAGCCAAGGGCAAAACACAGTCTCTACTCTTTTGTAGCCTCTGTTAGAAGGTGATCGATTCCATAGAGAACAAAGCAGGGTAGTGGGAAAGAATAATGTTATGGGCTGGAGAGACGGCTCAGCGATTAAGAACACTGGCTGTTCTTGCAGAAGACCCAGGTTCAAATCCCAGCACCCACATGGCAGCTAACAACTGTCTGTAACTCCAGTTCCAGGGGATCTGACAGCCTCTTCTGTCCTCCACAGGCATTGCACGACACGGGTGCACTTACCTACATGCAGGCAATACATGCATACACATAAAATAAAAATAATAAATATTTTTAAAAAAGAAAAGAAAGAATGTTATTTCATATGGACAGCTCAGGGCAGGCATCTCCAAGGATGCTGTGACTTAACAAAGACCCTGAGAGAATGGGGAAAATGTTTCTTGTGGCTTGACCATATAAGCAAAGGTCCTGGGCAAGACAGGAAATGGTTAGCACGGTTGAAGAGAGGCAAGGCCAGTCTGGTTAGTGTAGAGTAGGAAGTGGACAGAGAACAGAGTCACAGAAAAAGCAAGAACCAGAGAGCGGGAGTTTTACAGACCACTGTAAGGCCCTAGAGAGGTCTTCGGGAGTTTTGAGCAGAAGAGAAACTAGGTCTAAGTTTTTAAAAGGCAGTTCTGGGGCTGGAGAGATGGCTCAGTGATCAACAGCACGAGCTGCTCTTGCAGAGGACACAGGTTCAATTCCCAGCACCCACATGGTGGCTAACAGCCATCCATAACTCCAGTTCCAGGGGATCTGACTCCCTCTTTTGGCCTCGGTGGGTATTGCACACACATGGTACATACATGCAGGTAAAGCACTCATACACATTAAATAAAAATAAAAAATGTAAAGGACAGTTCTCAATGCCATGTGGAGAGAGCTTTAGGAGACAACACAAAATAGGAAGTAGGCAGGAAGTTCCCCTGTTGGCCCAGATGAGGGATGGCAGGAACCTGAACTACAGAGGTGAGGGGAGTGATGAAGGGCAGAGGAATTATGAAGGTAGTGGTTAACAGTAACAGGACCTGCCACTGGATGGGAAACAGAGTTCATGTGAAATAAGAGAATTTAGATGCTCTAATAATTCTAGCCCCCAAAATGAAGAAGGCCTGAAGAACAGAGCTGGGGACAAAAATTCAACAGCAGATGCAACACAGGCAAAAGGACAGGGTCCTCCAGGTGGAGCCGAGGACACTTGGGCGGATGTAAAAGCCAGAGAATCTCAGAAGCTGTCCTAGAGACAGATGCAGATACTCACCAAAAAGAGCACCTAAGGCAGGGGATGCTGTAGGGGACAAATGACAAATGACCCTCAAGGTCAGTGGAGCACAAGGTGGGGATATAGAGAGATCCTTGTATTGGCAAGAGGTCCCCAGTAACTTGGCAAAAGAATGTTAGAGGGGCTGAGGACAAGAGCTGAGAGACTTTTGTCCAGCAGTGAGGCTGAGGTGTTATTTGTATGGAATGGGAGTTGACAGAGATCCTAGATATTGGTCAGTACACTGAAGTCTCAAAACTGTGAGCCACCTGAAGCAGGCACTTCATCTCCTTTTAGAATCTACCTGGAGTATGCCAGATGTCCAGTAAACATTTGAAGACTTTTATAAACTTTCTTGATATCTACCGCCAGGCAGCCCAGGCCAATAAGCACACTCATGGCTATTAGTGTGGTGGAGAAGACCAAGAGAAGTAACAGCCAAAGCACCCTCCTCTCCCTTACCCACAAGGCACTTGCTCAGCACATGCAGGGTTCCTAGTACCTGTGCCACTGATGTTCTCCTCTCATCACCAGGGCAGACCTGGCAGCCCAAACTTCAAACACTGAAGTCTGAGTGGCATTCATCAACAGAACTCAGAGAATATTCTATTTTATTTATTTTTATTTTATGTGTATGAATGTTTTGCCTGCATGTATGTAAAGTGTACCATGTGTGTGCAATGCCTGTGGAGACCAGAAGAGGGCACTGGACTCCCTGGAACTGGAGTTGTGGCTACTTGTTAGCCACCATGTAGGTGTTAGGAAGCAAACCTGGGTCCCCTGCAAGAGCAGTCAGTGCTCTTTTAACTGCTGAGCCATCTCTCCAGCCCCTCATAGAATACTTTAAAGGGATGTTTTTATAACAGGTCATTTGAAAATCTAATGTCAAAAGTAACTTTCTAATATATTCAGAGTACTACAAATAATTATTCCACAGTATTTAGGGGTCAGGTCACTTTCAGAAGCCAGGGAATGGTCTCCCACCACTCACTCTAGCCAACAACAGCATGTTTGCAATGGGAAAGGTTTTCTTGCATCCTATGGAAATCCACATCCTGAGCCTGCAGGTCACAGTCCAGCAGAGCAGCCTCTGTCCCTCCGGAAAGAACAATTAGTTTTCTACCCTTTAATCAAGCAGCAGTCAATTGCTGTTTTTCTAAAGTTCTGCCTGGGGAGTGCCTGTTCTTTCCTGAGTATGTGTTGTTCTAGCCAGTACTCCTTGTTCAGACTATCTTCTCATGAGTCCTCTTGAGAGCTGCCCCCCAGTCTGTCTGGAATGAGACACTGAAGCACTGTGCTCAGGAGGCAAATATGGGATTGGGACACAGGCACCCCAACTTCTCAACATTTCTGGCTTTCAACTTGTGGACACAGGAATCCTCAGTCCC